ATTGATCTCAAAAATCGGGTATTGCGTTAAACATGGAATTGTGTTGGTGCAACATCCCATTAATGTGTGATAGGCATTGAAAAAAAATTATAACGTATGTGAGATTTCAAACAATTGTACATAAGCAGTCATTTTGCCTTTTGGTAGGTATTCAGTTGTTTCGATAGAAACTTTACTCAATTAAGTTGGCAGATGGGAGAAAATTGCAATTTAACAAACATATGTGCAACTTATGTAACTTATTGCGGTTTCTGCCATATTGAAAATATGCATATTCTCATAACTACATTTCACGTAACCAAATGGCAGACGGGTTAAAAACGTTCATCATATGAACAATGTTTGTCGCAATTTTGTTCATTGTTTATTAGGACTTGTACCAGCCTGCAATTTCTGCCAGTCAAAACTTAGGCTTTTGGTAGCAACTTATTTATTATAAATTAATGGCAGACGGGAAATAATTGATCTCAACTTTGAAAAATTTTGACATTTTGGAAAATTAAAAATAAATATTTGTACCACTTCAATTTTTCTGCCGGTGCAAAGGTATAGTATTTATCTAAAATCCATTGCAAAAAAACATGTTTTAGGCAGGAGAAAATTGTTTCAACATCTCAGCATTTTGATACAACTTCAAAAATTGTTAAATATTATTATACCAACCGAGATTTTCTGCCATTTACTTATTGATGTATTACATCGTAAATGTAACATAAATTTAATTTGGCAGACGGGAGGTCGTTGATCCACATGTCCGATTTTGGTGACATTTTGAATTTAGTAATATGACACTTTATACTAACCCAGGGTTTCCGCCATTTAGCATCCTTCTACTAATTTTTGTTAAAATTACCTTTACAATGTGTGGCAGACGGGATAATATTGATCCACATCTCCACTTTTCATTACATTTTCAAATTAGCATATCATTGTATTGTCACACGCGGGGCTCTTTGAAATTTCAGCCATTCCACTTCTTATTGCATAAAGAATAACCACCCTTAATGGCAGACGGGAGAAAATCGTTTCAAAAAAATGGTCGTTATGCACCGGTCTATATCGTTGTACATCACTCCGGCCCAAACATTAAACCCTCCTCCTCCAAAGGTTTCCTGAGAAGCCATGTTGTCTTCTTCAAATTGCTCCGCAGGATGCCTTCATACTAACACCCTACCATCGGAGTGTATCAGGTTGAACCGCGTTTCGTCGCAAAAGAAACACTTTCGCCACTCATGTAATGCCTTGATTAACAGAAAATGAAAGGAATAATTAGCTTATTCGCCTTTTAAATGAAGAGTTAAGCTAAAGACATGTAGCGCGAATATATTCGGTAAGCGGCAGCACTATAAATTACCTAAAACAGCTTTTTTGAGGTGGGGCCCCTACGAAAATTGAGGGATGAGCAGCATGAACTCTATTAAGAGAGGTTCACAATAACCGAACTTCGTGCTCTAGTGTTTTGAATGATAGCCTAAGAAGGCACACTGGTATAGTGGCGTTTAACAGGACCGTTAGAAGAACGCTAGCGCGAGCAAAATGTGTTCACCTTTTGCCAAACCGTAGAAGACTTGGTGTCGAATGAGCCACCGATAAATCGGCATGAAATGACGAATATCGGAATTGTTTTTTTTTGTGACGAAACGCGGTTCAACCTGATACACTCCGTTGGTAGGGTGTTAGTATGGAGGCATCCTGCGAAGCAATTTGAAGAAGACAACATGGCTTGTCAGGAAACCTTTGGAGGAGGAGGGTTTAATGTTTGGGTCGGAGTGATGTACAACGATAGATCCGACTTATACATTTCACGGGGTACTGTTAACGCCGTAATTTATCGGAATCACATAATAAATGTCATTGTTATTCCATATGCAGAAAATATTGGGGAGCATTTCATCATGGTTGACGATAATGCGAGACCACACAAAGCAAGAATTGTTTAGGAGCTTTTGGGGGACCATAACATGCAACAGTTACACCTGCCTCCAAAATCTCCTGATGTTGTATGGTCTCAGCTTAAGTTACTGGTACGATCGCCCGAAAATGCTCCCAATCGCTGGATGAGTTCGCACTTGCCATAGACGAAGAGTGGCAAAATATCCCTCAGGCATTCATTAATCTCTTGGTTGACAACATGTCACGGCCGGCGATGCCAAGAGGTTGTGAATGTAAGGAGAGGGCTTACTAACTATAACTTTGATTATCTGCCGTTCTTGATTAATTTTTTTAGTTTACGTTGTTTATTACTTAACTTTTAGGTCACTTTGTTGTTGTTATTGAATCTTAGTTTGATTAGTTTTTCAGTTCACTTATTTTGATACGTTTTACCTAGGTATCTACCTAACTAAACTGAAAGTACTTCTTAACGCATTTAAAGTAGGGGAATTTCAGATGTTACCGGTTGACAACGGCGTGCGACGTTGTATGATTTGAATTAACATTTTCAAATAAATAACACGTGTCGATTCATTTTGTTATTTCTAGCTGTCAGTGGTCTTGATAATTTATTATTACATTCTAGTAAATTATAAGGAAAAAAAAAGGCATTGACAACATTGTCAGTCCTTGTTCTACGACGTTATCCTAAATATAACGTAAAAAACCTATAGGAACACTTTTTGTGTTTTGTTTTAAATCAACTTAAAGAAGCATTAACGTTGTTCATATAATTTTTTTGTTTGGCAGATAATGTAATTTACCATCCCTAACTTTATTTTTTGATACTGCTACGATTAGTGGAAGAATTTTTAATTGAAATACCTTCAAACATGAAGCTACAAAGAAAATTAGCAGGAAATAAAAGTTCGGGCTTCCTCTCAGCACAACGAAATCTGTTCCGAATATTTAAATTTTATCAGTGGTATAAATAATTATTAGCACGTCACTGTACAGCATATCATTGAGGTATTCGAAATTTTAATCATAAAAATAAGCTAATCGAAAGATATAACAATTGCTAATAAAATTGATTTGATGAAGAATAATAATTTCTGTTTCCACGCCACTGTACAGCATATCATTGAGGTATTCGATATTTTTAATCACAGTAAATACGCTGGCTGAAAGGTATGACAATTGCTAAAAAAATGCACCGCTAAGAACGATTCAGGACGGTTTAGAACGGAAAAGTTGAGAAAATTAATATGGTTATGTTAAATAAACGATATTTTAGAAACAAAGGCAAATATCAAAATTTTGAGAAATTGGTTTCTTAATAATATGTCAATGATTAAAGTGAACTAAACTAAACTATTTTTAAAATTATGCACCTTTGAATGTAAAATTCGGTGAGCCACTAATAAATAATTCCGAAAATGGGCGATTATTAGTATGCTACTGGACACCACATTATTTTAGTATTTTACAGGAAGACAGAAGCACCCTGCCAACCTGTCAGAAAATGAATTGTTTATGTTCATGAAATGATTAAAATAAAAGGATATTAATTGAAATCAATCTTAGAGCTTTGGAGTACATTATTAAATGATAATTTATATAAAACTAACAAATTGATACAGTGAATTTTGAACTGTAACAAATTGTCACTCTGACATAAATGTAGATTCTATAGTCTGAGATGGCTATTTGCACGGCTATAACTTAAGGGATATTTAATCTAAGTAGAACCTAGAATGTGATTTTTGTTTCTACAAGAGTCACTTTCAAAGTTCCACTTAGATTGAATATCCCTTAAGTTATAGCGGTGCAAAAAGCCGCCATCATTTAGGCAACGGCTACAATATCCCAGCGTATACAAGACGCTCCGTCAAAAAAATTATTGGAATCGTGGGTTCAAAGACTTGAAGTTGTACAGTGGCAAATTAGAAGCATCCCGCCATGTTCTAGAATTGAGCGCCTCGGATTTTCAAGCACGTCGCACAATCTCAATGTTCCCTGGCGTTCTGATGGACTTCAGATGGCCGGGACGCTTCTGATTTGCCACTGTACTACTTTGTCTGTATCTTTGATCTCACGATTTCAATAAATTTTTTAACGGAGCATCACGTATATGCCGAATATTATAACGGTTACAAAAATGTCGCCGTGCCGCGACATAAGAATCGTTCGATTTAAAAAACGCCTCGACCATAAGCGCGCGTTGCTCGTTCGACCACTGCTCCATGTTTACTGGTGATAATCCGCACGCACGCAGTCGCCGCAAATTGCCAGGAAACTATAAATAGGTAAGAAGCTGATAGTGCGGGATACCGTGAAGCTTTTGGTTCCATGCATCCACCGTTATCTAATCGACAAATCTCGTAACATTTGAATATCTGCTGATGCGCTCTGAGAATTAGTAGGTAGTTGGCTCTGGCAATAGAGTAAATGGATCATCAGGTAGGAAGACAAGCTCCATCGGGATCAAATGGCGGAGGCCGTTTTCACTTTTTTAATAGCAAGCCTCGCGTAGAAATGCTACTTGGATATTTGTCTATAAAAAACCAGCCTATGAATATTAAAATTGTCATTAGTACCTTATGTTTATCAATTTTTGTGCAACCTGCGCTAAATTGAATCAATAATGATATAATTAGTGACTTTTGAAAATTATTTTGAATATACAACTTTCCAATAATTTCCTCGATTTGTTATGTTACAGCATTAACATATACGTACCTACCTACATAGGTAACTTTGTTTTTATATTACCCAATTATATTTTATAAATAAATTGTTTATGCCATATATTATAAAAACATGATAATGGCGGTTATCTTTCACAATAATTACATGGCGATAATGATTCAAACAAAATATAAATAACAGAAATGAATCATTCATATTTCAATTTATTAATGCAAGGGTAATGGCGAACCACAGGACTTATAGAGTGAACCTACAAAATTGATTTAAATAATTGTTTTTAGCAGGGACTTTCCCAATAATCAATTTTCTCCTCATTGTCTGAGATATTTTAAAATTTTTGTATTTGTCTCTACCAATGTTTAATGTATTTATCATAGCTCACAATTTTTAAACGCCGTATTTGAGCTCCCCTATAGAAAATTGCAAGTTAGCTACTGTCGGTAATAAAACATTTGGTTTGAAATATCGGTGCACGTAAATTTTTTTGAGTTTCATTTTTCATTTTATAATTGTTTATATGTTGAGGTATTTTAGAATGCACAGACGCTTGAGTATCTTCCTAATAATACTGGGGCTAGTCAAAGCCGAGCTTCCGATCGCAAATACCCCAATAGGAAGATATAGAGGAACTATAACCGAGTCTAGATTAGGCAAAACAATATATTCGTTCACGGGTATTAGGTTTGCAGAACCACCAGTGGGCGAATTAAGATTCCAAGTGAGATTTTCAATAATATTTAATGCTTGGGATTAACAATGAACTTATAAGCCTCCAGTTCCAATTGGCTGCCATGAAGGTGTTTACAATGCTACAATTGATGCTCCATTGTGTCCACAGCCAAGTGTATACAAGACACAAGAAGATTGCTTATATTTGAATGTGTACACTACTAAGGTTAGTTAATTGATTGTCGTTCGTTTGGTGTATGTTTCCTTTGCTTTGCAGTCTGCAATTTTTATGAATTTTTGTTATCTTCAATTAAAAGAATGGCAGCTCGATATTCTCTTCTTTCTTCACAAAGCACAGCTACATACAGCTATCGCATACTCTATTTGTGTGCAGAAGCGATACAGCCTCATAATATAAGGAAAATGCACTAGATTTGAAAACAATGACCAGCTACTTACTGTGAATATTCCAATCAAAGAAAAAAATAATCTCAATCTTCGGAGTCGCCGCAAGTTCACAAACAGATTTGCTGAGAAGTTCGAGAAAATGCTATAGTGTTTTATCTGAAGACCAATAATGTGATACAACAAGGAGAGTCATTTTACAACTGGTTTTGACATCGGAGAACAAGTCCACAATGTGATTTTTCTAGGAATGTCCATCTAATCGTGTTCTATCTGAAAATTGAACAACGTACGGGAGTTTCGACTTCGCCCCTGACTTTATAGTTAAAATCAAGTTTCAAAAAATATACAGCATATTCTGTGGTAAATACACGAGAGCGAACAGCCGAAATGGCGTCAGCAAGTTGGAACTTATCGTCAAAAAATTGAATCTAGGTAAGGTTCGTTTCAACAGGGGTTCATACTTGACCTTGAAACTTGAAAAAAAAGGGTTGTCGTAGATTAATTCATATGACACATTCAATTCTTTTGACCAATTAAAATTAATGACTTCTCTTTTAAGAAGCGACGAACGTTTTTGACGTCATTGATTTGTTTCAGTCAATTTTTATTTGGTAAATAAGGAAGGCAAATGCTGGTGGCAAGTACAAACCCTGGCGAAACAAACTTTAGGTAGTGCCTCAATAGTGTTTAGAAGAAAATTGTGAAGATGGAATCTGACCTGACATCAGGAAACGTGCCACCAGTATTGAAGTTGAACCACCACTATGAAACGGTCAGACATCAGCACCCTCATTATCGAGACAGGGGAGCAGCGTTCTCATGAGAACGCAGGTTCTGTATTCTTCACCCATATTCTATATTTATATGTACATAACACTCACAAAAACAGAGCAATCATTATCATGAGAACGCTGTTCCCTGATTTTGAAAATAGACATTCAGACATCAAAATTATATTTTGTACTAACGGACAACGTACTCACACAGGTCACATAACGGTTTGCGTACCTAAATAAAAAAGAACAAAGTGCTATAAATATTTAAATAATGGACACATCAATGCACAATTAAAAAAACATTACATGTTGAGCTTCCTAGCCTAATAGCAACGAGTTCAATCTGGTCGTACCATTGAAGCTCCAGAAATGTCTCGCCATTCACATTTTCCAAATTTATGAACTCAATTTGTAGCGTTTTTGTTTGATTCAAAAGCAGCCTTTTTGCGTCGAACCAACACTCTGACCTTCTCCAACTAACCTGCGGGATCGGGCAGAGAGTGGTGCCATCTGAAAAGAGCATGTAGGTGCGCGATGTACAGACGTTACCTTAAGACTGTTGCATTAACTAATGTTTGGAGCTTTGATCCTGTGGCCACAAGACAGAGACACTTCCACCAGGCTCATAACAATATTAACGTGAGTTTGTTGATTATTTGAACTATCGAAGTAGCAATACCAGGTGTAGTTAGGAGCAAGACTACAGGAAGCTGTCGAAAGTTCATAAGAATTTGGAACCAATATCCACCGTCTGGCTAATCTAGCCTATCCGGAAGAAACAGCGGAAATGCGAGAGGAACCAGGGACCAAAAATTTCATCAAGGGAATCAAAAATATCGATTTACAGAGAATACCCCTCATATCCAAACCATATCAAGTACCAACTTCAATCAAAGAAAACGAAGCGGTCTACAAGATATTTAAACCAAAGATCACAGCTGCCAATACAAGAAGAAAAAGAACCAATTAGAGAAATTAGATATTATGAATAAGGCAACTTTTGGAAGATGTACGGAAGGTTGCTCCCAAAGGGGGCACCGAGTGTTTCCGCCTGCGGAAGATGAAGACATTTTAAGCGTGATTAGTACCGCCACTCTGGAAACTACTTACAGATAGCTTAGCCACATATACCCCTAAACATGGAGAAAGGCCAGAATGGTCTTTATACCAAAACCTGGGAAAGTCTTCTCGCAGGCAAAAGCGTGTAGACCAATAATTACACTATCGTCCTTTATTATGAAGTCGATTGAAAAACTCGGCACACGGAGACACAAACATCGATTGATAACATGCTTCGTGAAAGACAAGTTCAGGCTACTGTAAATAATGATACAATGGAGATGTCGGTATCAAAAGGTTGCCCACAGGGTGGGGTTCTATCTCCCTGTGTGGACCTGGTCGTAGACGAACTCTTAGTAGACCTTAATGACACAACTTTTTATACCCAGGGTTACTCTGATAATGGAGTAAACGTGGTTATGGGGAAAAAATTACGAACTACTTCTGCGAAAAAGCAAAGAGCGCTTAAAATCGTGGAAGCCTGGGTCAAAGGGGCAAACCTAAGTGTCAACCCCGAAAAAACAGCTATAATCCCCTTTACGAAAAGGAGAAAACTGGACGATCTACTTCCCCCCATTTTCTTCGGAAAGCAAAAACAATTCTTCCGGGAAGTCAATCACCTATAGGAATTATCCTGGATGCAAAACTAACCTGGAACGCGCATATTGAATACGTCACCAACAAAGGTAAAATGGCGCTTATGGCCACCAAAAGAGCAGGGGGAAATACATGGGGGGATTTCTACCCCACATAATAAATTGAATCTATACAGTAGTGGTAAGACCCAGAATAACCTACGGGTCAATTGTCTGGTGGCCAAAACCCAAACTGACCAAAGTAATAATGGAGCTATCCAAACTTCAAAGACTGGCTTATCACCAGAGCTGTCACAAATACTGTAAAATAGTATTTCAAATACCAAGTATCAAATACGAGAAATTCATGCTGCAAGTACAAATACTAAATACTTTCAATTTGAAAAGTACTTCAAGTTTCAAGTACTTCAATTTAGTACTTGATTTTCTCAAATAAAATAATTCAAATACTCTGTAAGTATTTCAAGTACTTAATTAAATATTTGAAATACCTATGTGTATTTGAAATAATAAGAAGCAGGTACTTCAAGTAAACTCTAAAAAGGAAGGAGGACTTTACAAACTCACTATTTGAAATGAAAAGTGACATCATGACCTCGAGAATAAATACTCACAAACCTTTCCAAACCCAGATCAACTGGGAAAACAAAACAGAAAACTCACTAGTCCAGAATGTGAAGTTAGTATGATACACTGATGGCTCCAAACCCGCAGAGTATATGGCCCATCCTCAAGATCAAAATGGTATTCTCCACTGGGAAAGCACACCACCGTATTCCAAGCCGAAATACATGAAATAGAGATATGCCAGCAGGAAAATCTGAGAAAGGGATATGTGCGTAAGGATAGCACGATCTTCTCAGACAGCCAAGCAGCTATTTAAGCACTAGCATGCCAACAGATAAACTCTAAATTAGTGTGGGACTGCCTGCAACTCCTTTAAACCCTAGTCAGCCATAACAAGGTTACTCTTGCGTGGTTTCCGGGGCACACGAGCGTTGCTGGCAATGAAAACGCGGACTCCTTAGCCAGGCAAGGATCAGAAAGGTAATTTATGGGCCCTGAACCCTTATTCGGAATATCAAAAACCTCGAGGCCTTGGATTTGAAGAACTGTAGCATTTTTATCTTCCTCTAATTTAAATTCATATAAAATGCTACAATTTTGGAATGTTTATTAATTATAATTAAATAAATTATTAAATAAACAATATGTTTATCTTGGCAACTGTAAATTCTGGTTGGGAAATCTCCGGCATCAACTTCTGTTTTCTTTTGGGTGTCTACAAGAACCTAAAGAGAGAAAAAAAAAAAAAAGAAAAGAAAAATGAGACAAATCACCGATTACTTTTGTGATATGAAAACTTACCTGTATCTATCCCAAAACCAATTCAGATTCCGCTATTGTGAAGGTTCTCTTTGCTCACCCATTTTCAAATTTTTCTATTTTTCCATCAAAGTTAAATCCAACCCTGGTGTTTGGTCTATTTTAAATTACGGCTGGCCTTGTCACCGTTCAGCGAATATTTTTGGGGGTTCTCCCACCGCCTTGAACTTGGTTCACTGTTGGAGCAGTGAGGCTTCGTTTTGGTACCAGTGGTCACGGAACCTTTGTCAAGAGCTTTGAAAACTCTAAAATCCGTCCGTATTGCCATTTTGATTTTTATCAAGATTTGTAGAAGTTGGCGTAGACCACAAAATATTTTGTGAGCTCAGTAGATCCAGTTTCCAGATATATGGTTCTTGAGCGATTTTATGAGTTATTTGGGATGATTATTTCGCGTAAGTTTCACGTACCTCGTGGTAAGAATTTAACATCTTCTAATGGTTTTTTTATCTTTATAGATCCATTTTTGATTATCCAGTTTGCTTTCGATTGGCATTAAATTGCTGCTGATATTCGCATTGGAATTTTCACTTCCTAATTTATTGGAGGGTCCAAATCAGAGTCCAAATCAGAGTCCAAATCCAAATCCAAGTCCAAATTCAGATAAGTTCAGAGTCAAGCCCAAGAGGAAAATGTCTCCAAATTTTTCTATGAAGATCCAACCCGTACAAGTACCAACTAGTCCGAGTTGTAGTTCAGGTCCACTTTGCGCCCATTTGATCTCTACTCTTACCAGAAAATATCCAGCTTCGAATTCGTCCAGAGCCCAATAAGCCAGATTTGGGACTTTATGGATGCACAGAAAATCTAACAGGTTTGCTAGAGATTAAGGCAGGCTCAGTGAAAAACCAAATAAAAAAAAAATATGCTTTAACTTTCAAACATTTTCTTATATTTTTTCGTTTTTGAAATAATGTTTTTTTTTTATCTATATTTAGGTATAATGTGAATAGCCGATTTGGTATTTTTTTATTTTTATTTTTATTGCGTATATTATTCAGGTATTTTTGAGTAAGACCCCAAAACCCCGAAGATTCATGAATTTTCCCCAGGTTTTCCGTGATATGATTGCCTATTTAAAGTAATACAATTTGACCAAATAGTGCTATATATTCAACAATCCTATTCGATATCAAAATTTATCTTTAACTCAAATTTGCATAACTTTAATTACAATCTCATAACTTTAATTATTACAAAATTCTACATTATTATACACCGGTGTAATTGTACAGTGTACAGTGTGTTATTTACTGTTGTCCAGGAAAATAAAGTTTCATTTTTGGGAAGTACTGAGTATTTGTTTAGAGAATCTTTCTTGTTTTCAGGTCACAGTTTCAGGTACTTTTCAAATTAAGTTTTTCTATTTTTTTCTTAATTGACATTTCAACATTATTTAAACTGTAATAATTATGTAAGTAATCTTTCAGTAAAAAAAAAATTAGTGGCATCCAAATGGCAAGGTCAAAATCAAGCAAATATTATCTGAACCCATTACCCAATGCCACTGATGAAAAGCTGCCGTGCTTATATGTTTAGTGGTTGTTTTCCGGAATCAGTAAAAATCAGGAAAATAATTGCTACAGAACATCAAAAATATGGAGTTCTGAACAGTAAGAACAATCAGTCAGAAGCAAGATAATGACAAACCACTTTTGAAAGTAATGAAAACCGGGAATAGATCGCCACCAAAGTGAAAACAAAAATCGACGGACAATAAGAAACCGAGTCGAAGAAAATGGTAAATATTATCTCTCAAACAGACGCTCTAGAGATTCATACGATGAAGAAGGTCGCGATGAGTGCTACGGCCGCCCGAGCAGGCTCAGAAGCTGCTGACAGTATGGAAAGCCAACCAGGAATAGGACGAGGTGGATATTTTCCTAGTTCCTGTGACGAATCGGTTCTTCCTCCCATGAAAACAATAATTACGCAGGCGTGAGGCTAGACCTGAATGGACAGGAAGTTTCTAGAGGGCATTTATTTAACAGTAATAGAAATTGTTAGAAAGTTTTTTTCAGGTAATGACCAACGTGAATTCAGGGACACAAACAGGGAATCGGCCCACTGAGCAGTGGACTCAGGCTTCCCGTGCCAATCCTTGATGCGTTTCGTCCTTGTTAGGACTCATCAGAAGGACATAGGCTGAAGCTCCCTGTCCAAGCAAAATTGAACTTCGTTGACCAGTCAGAAACAACTACTCCGAGGGCAAATACCCCTACCGGCGTTGAACTACACTGAATGGTCTGAGCTTTCGTTGGCAATAGAAATTGTTAGAAAGATTTTTACAGGTAATGACCAACGTGAATACAGGGACACTTCGGTCCCTGTTTGGGAATCGGCCCACTGAGCAGTGGACTCAGGCTTCCCGTGCCAATCCTTGACGCGTTTCGTCCTTGTTAGGACTCATCAGAAGGACATAGGCTGAAGCTCCCTGTCCAAGCAAAATTGAACTTCGTTGACCAGTCAGAAACAACTACTCCGAGGGCAAATACCCCTACCGGCGTTGAACTACACTGATTGGTCTGAGCTTTCGTTGGCAATAGAAATTGTTAGAAAGATTTTTACAGGTAATGACCAACGTGAATACAGGGACACTTCGTATTCACGTTGGTCATTACCTGTAAAAATCTTTCTAACAATTTCTATTGCCAACGAAAGCTCAGACCAATCAGTGTAGTTCAACGCCGGTAGGGGTATTTGCCCTCGGAGTAGTTGTTTCTGACTGGTCAACGAAGTTCAGTAATAGAAATTGTTAGAAAGTTTTTTTCAGGTAATGACCAACGTGAATTCAGGGACACAACGGTCTCTGTTTGGGCATCGACCCACTGAGCAGTAATTGTTTCTGACTGGTCAACGAAGTTCAATTTTGCTTGGACAGGGAGCTTCAGCCTATGTCCTTCTGATGAGTCCTAACAAGGACGAAACGCATCAAGGATTGGCACGGGAAGCCTGAGTCCACTGCTCAGTGAGTCGATTCCCAAACAGGGTGAGTTGAGTCCCTGAATTCACGTTGGTCATTACCTGAAAAAAACGTTCTAACAATTTTCATTGCCAACGAAAGCTCAGACCAATCAGTGTAGTTCAACGCCGGAAGGGGTATTTGCCCTCGGAGTAGTTGTTTCTGACTGGTCAACGAAGTTCAGTAATAGAAATGTAAAGCAGCTAGCCCAAGAAATTTATGGGTTTTTCAAAAAATTTTGCGAGGGCAGGCTGATTTTTTCAGGGCTGATTGGAGACTGTGTCCCGAGTATTGAGCCAAAAAATCACACTCGAATGCCTTGTGCGTTCGGTCCTATTGGCCTTTTTCTTATTTTTTTTTTTCGACAAAATTACCTTTACAAAACTTGTAGATAATTACATTCTGATCAACTTTGCATTATGCCTTTTTTTGCTAGCTATTTTAGTTTAGGCATTGCGGCCATTTTAGTGCTCCAGAATTCGCAAAAAAATTAAATAGCAAACCTGTAGATTATTGTAACCTCAATAAAATTACTGGTACCTAATGTACTTCATTACGTTATCGGTTTCAGTCCAGGAAATGATACATTACATCACTAATCCGGTGAAATCATTTTCCCGGAGTGAAAGCGTGAAATCGAAATGATGTTTTTTTTGAAAATACTGGGAACTGTTACCTGTCTGAAAAGTGACAAAATATTTTTTTTTCTACAATCGGCCTAGAAAGTAGACTTTGTCGATTAGATTTGTGCTCGCAAAGTAGACGTTTCCTGATTACCTCCACTTTGCCGCTTTAGAGAGTCAAACTACGTCAAAATCCTTCACTTTGTCGCTCTAGAGCGGCAAAGTAGTAAAAGCGCTTGCGTTTACTACTGGTTTCTTTGAACCTGAACTATTTTTTATCAAATGCGATTGTAAAAAAAATCAAGTGTGCATTACGAGCAAAAAGTGCCTTTTGCCGATCTCGAGATATTTGCCAATATCAACAATATCTTTCGATCGGCAAAGTACTACTTTGCGCTCTTAATAAACAAATAGGTAGCTATTGTGCAACCGTCCGCTATGCATGCCAGAATGTCCACCAGGTCAAATAAAATTTCTCAAATGCCTAAAAGGCCGTACAAGCGAAAGAAATAAAGTTACAATAAAATATCATCAAGCAAAGTAATAGAGAATTTTATTAGGTATAATAATCTGCAGGTTTGCTATTTAATTTTTTTGCGAATTCTGAAGCACTAAAATGGCCGCAGCGCCTAATGTAAAATAGCTAGCAGAAAAAGTCAAAAGGCAAAGTTGATCAGAATGTAATTATCTACAAGTTTTATGAAGGTCATTTTGTCGAAAAAAAAATAAATAAGAAAAAGGCCAATAGGGCCGAACGCACAAGGCTTTCGAGTGTGATTTTTTGGCTCAATACTCAGGACACACTCCCCAATCAGCCCTGGAAAAATCAGCCTGCCCTCGTAAAAAGTTTTGCGGCCCAGGTATAAATTTCTTGGGCTAAGCATAGTTGGGATGATGCAGCATATTACGATTATGACAACGTAGAAAAAAAAGGCAGTGTTACGAAATTACATTGAGCGGAAACGCAAACGCCACTGTGCACGACCGGAGCAAGAAAATTCAAGAATTCGTTCCTATTGTGTACCTCTGCTCAAAAAAAAAAAAACTGGGACAGCAAAATGTAGTTAAATCCCTACAACGATAATTTTGCTACCCCAGATTTTCTTCGGCACGCTTTGAGTAAACAGAATATTCGAGAAATGTGGATATATTTATCGGTTGATTGGTTCCATATATAAATGCGCGGAGTTTTTGAATCCAGTCAGGTAAATAAGAGAATTGTTGAATAACGTTAAATCAAATCCGACCAAAATACGGTTTATTGTCTAAAAATTCATCTCTTCTTGAAAAGCTTTGACCTAAATAATAGGAATAATAGTAAGCAAGTCTTTATGGTATTACAGAGAAGTATTAAATGCTTCTACATGCAAGCACTACATACAGACAAAAAAATGGTCAGAAAATCAAAGCTTAGATCTAAACGCTGATTAACAGAGATAAGTAATTGGTGAAGTTGGTTCAAAAAGTTGTGGTGGACTCGGAATTGACAATTTTACCAAGAATTATGAAATTCAAACTCGTCAATATGATGTCATATGGGACCTAGACATAATTCGAAGTATTCGAGCTTATTTTGACTCTATGCGTATGTTTTCGTCATTTTGTGCTAAGACAAACATTTATTTTTCAGTTGCCAACCAAATATGACAATAATGTTAAAAAACCCGTCATTGTGTTTATTCACCCTGGAGGTTTCTACAGCTCAGGCTCACGATTTTGGGGTCCGCGATATTTTCTGGACCGCGACATAGTTTTGGTGACAATTAACTACAGATTGGGGAGTTTGGGTAAGTACCTACAAACATGAAATAGAAAAATTATTATACCTAGAATAGTCACATATACATCCTATTATATCCAATACAGAACTTAATGTATAATAAGGATTTTCAAAATAGTTGTTGGATAATAATATCTTTGGAACAACGCAAGTGTTCAACCAAAGCTCCTACATACTGCTAATACTCATACGATGAGTTTGTATTGGTCTGGCACAGTCGGATTTACGCAAAACGTGCGGTTTTGCTGTATAAGACAATGCAGAAACCCGAATTCTCAATCATCGGTTACTGGCGCTAATTGCAGACCGGTTTCGTGCTTGTTAGCTCTCGTCAGTGCAACGTAAGCGAAAGCATCTCAACTCAGACAAAAAAAAAACTTATCACAGTAACTATTCAATCCTTAGATTCAGGTGACCAGAGTTCCCATCAACAGGAATCTGCTCTAACACCTTTATGCTTCAAGTAATTTATTCAATATCATAGTCGTTCGTAGCTTATCTACTCGACGTACACATAATTTGCCCGAAGTATCGGCAAGTTAATATTCCAATCTACTTTCCTTACCAAAAAGATGCCTTTTGCTGTCGAAGAAGAATGTGGATATTCGCGCAACTACCATTACCAAAAAATCGTTAAAAATTTATCAGACTATTGGTATTTTCGGGTTATCGCAAGAATTAGTTCGGAACTGTCAGGAGTTTGCGCAGATGATTTTTTTTTCCAAATCTGCGCATCAAACCGTTCTGGTTCTAGTGATAGCTCGGAAATATCTTATTTCTTAGAAGCGACTAGTACTTCTGCTTCTGTTGCCTGTATGACAACTGGAGTTTGCGTGGAGTGAGCCAGAATACCACACTAGACAAAAAATGTGGGACGACAACGGTTTATTGTGATGTCTTTTGGAACTGAGAACGTTTCCTTGACTCGTTACAATATTGTGCTGCTGTGATACAAATCATTCTGAAGTTCACTTGTAAGCAGACAGATTGGTGCCTTTGCTTCAAGCCAATTTGGAAAGGAGTGGATCATTGCCTGAATCAAAATTAGTCGAGTTGAAAACAGTTAAAAATGATTTGTTTTGAGAACTTCTACCCTGACTTATGAGTGGATATCGAAAAGGTTGTAAGTGAAATTTGTATCACTACTATCGATACAATTTCTTATTTTCAAAACCATCGATGACTGAGCGATTCTGAACAAAAATTATTATAGCATAACATAAGTGGACATTACTATGTTTAAAAATCTTATAGCTTAGGTTAGCTTAAGTTATAGATCGCCGCTTTTTAAAAGTTCCTAAAAATAGATATTAGACTCAAGTACATTTCTGGAAGGCCCAATTTTTTCTTCTAGGTTTCCTGGCAACTGGTGAAAAAGAATCCCCAGGCAACAATGGATTCAAAGACCAAGTAGTCGCTCTAAAATGGGTCAAAAAGAATATTGCAGCATTTGGAGGCGATCCTGGACTGGTTACTATAATGGGAGACAGTGCAGGTGGAATTAGTGTCGTGTTACACATGCTTTCTCCTATGTCTATTGGTAATACAAAATCCAAATTTATCATCTAAATTATTGAAAAATATGTTATTTTGTCATCAGGTTTGTTCCATAGGGCAGCTGCTTTGAGTGGTTCCCCTACTTCACATGTATTAATTGGTCACGACGAACTGGACTTGGCTAAAAGACAAGCCCGTTATGTGGGTTGTCCAGATGACACACCATCAAATATTTATAATTGTTTGAAAACAGTCTCCGCAGAAGATTTGGGGAATTCTTTGGGAAAATTTGCAGTAATAAGCCAACAATTTTGAAATGTTCATTATAAAAATTAACAATGTTATTAGGAATTTGGTGGAGATCCGCTGCTTATCTGGAGAGTAGTCATTGAAAAAGACTTTGGACAGGAACGATTTTTAACTGGTCATCCAATTACTCTAATAAAAAATAACAAAATTCTCACCAAGGTACCCTTTATGACTGGAATTACTAAGGACGAGTTTGGACAAAGAGCTTTCTGTAAGTTTCACTAAAACTGTACCTGTTAATAGGGTTTCGAGGATTATTTATTCAAGTAATACACTCCAGGTTCGGAACTACAATAATAATTGACATCACACAGGCTAGAAAACTCAATTACTTAATACTTAGGTACCTACTAATAAAGTTTAACAAAGCACTTCAACATTAACAAAACGTAGGTAATAATCTACTCTTTCAAAATTACGTTGCTGCATTAAAGTTATTTTTCTTCTGAAAGCTTAATATTAATAAGCTTTGTGCTCAAGAGAGTGTCCCTAGTTTTTATTAGAATATCTCTAACTTCTATAAAGCATTTTTTACTACGTTGTTTTCCATAATGGTCTGTAAAAAAGAGTGATGATATGAAACCAATAATAAAAGGCGCGGCTGAACTGACATTTTCAGGACACAGCAAATTATAAGAACGGTTGAAAGGAAAATAATCGGAAGAATTTATGGAAAACAGCAATACTGAAGAGATAGGGCAAAACTCGTCAATAAATGGATGACGAAGGGCTGCAACTCTCCTTTCTTTTTTTATAATTTCGTTCGGTTCAGTCGCCTAGGGATGGGTCTGATGGGCCTAATCTGTCTATGCATAGAGGCGAAAGAGCAAAGCCCTACACAATGGTGCGGTGCTAAGATGCAACCTGCATAGGTTTGTTTAACTGGCAGTGGCCAGTCAAGATGCCCGTTATTAGGCGTAGCCTTTTCCTGATCAATGACAGTTTCTGGGTAGCTTAGCAGCTCCTGGGATAAGTTGCAGCCAATCGTATCGTCCCAGCGCTTTTTGACAAGGGTGTGGCAGCGTTCTCTGATCATATCTTTGGCCGCCGACATAGTCGGCCCCACAAAGAGCTCCGGTCCAAAAGGCTGTAGCCTGGCGACCCTCCTAGCCAGAGCATCGGAAGAGAAGAGTCTGGGGAATAGACAGACGGAGCTCCGAACTTTCTCGAATGTCAGCGTGTCGCGAAGCGGTCGAAGTGGAGAGCGTCGAAGTTCCGTCCGCCGAACGTATTTTATTATTTTTATTCATATTCTATTATTATTTAGTCATAGGTACGAGAAAAGAAAAGTTTTTTTTTCTAAATTCAGGCCAATTATGTGATTATAGGTTTATAAATAAGAAACGGTATCATCAGAGAGGTTATTAAATTATTTTTTTTTTCTACGAACGTAGAGTATTTCCAAAGTTAATTGAAACAAGGTAAAAATAATTTGCAGCTGGTGGCTGACTAGTGGCAGTGCATTTCTTATGAAAATATTCAGTCACGCGTTGTGATTTACCTTTACCTTGTTTCAACTGACTTTGGAAAGACTATACCATGTAGGATAATTTCTACACTAGATAGGTATACTTTTCGCGTAATCTCGTATGTATACACGATTTTCCTATAAGTAAGGTTTATATTTCAATAATTTTTGGACAAAATATTATTTAAAAAAGACTAAAATTACTAAAATGAGTGTTGTATGCAACAATTTTGATTATAATAAAAATACATTTACCATTGAAGACTTTCTATACAATATACCGTTACCTACTGTTCCTAATATTTTGTAGGTATTCAGCAATTTCATGAAAAAGACGTAATATTATTGATGTATAGAAACTAGAAAGTACGGAAGCTTAAAAGGCTCAAAATTTAGATACGAGTTTTGTTTCATAACTCAGGATTATTATTTCTCTGATGATCTCGGAAATAATCCCGACTCATATATTTATCTCAGGAATAATCCTGTACCATAGGCGATAATAAACATCATTAGTAAATACAAATTTAAACTTGTATTTTGATAATGATCATTTTATCCGAGCTTGATTTTCTGCACTAAATATAATTATTTTAATTTAAATTATCGTAGGTGTTAGTAGTCGTGGTCTATTCGGCGTCGGTGGCGCGCGGAGCGATGGCTATGATATCGTTCGACATCTTTCGGAGCTCCGTCTGTCTGCTCCCCAGACTCTTTTCAGGGTTGTGCATCGGAAGCCCGACTGCCTTTACTATGATCATGTCCTTTGATCCAACTGGCTAAGACCGTGTTTCTTATCGACGCCTCTGTGAGGGAACGTTGGCAATGTTGTACTGAAGTCTGTTCATGGTTCATAAAGTCTATAGACTTTTTCGAGCACGTGATCTGGGATTTTACGTTGATTGGCCAAAATTAGGGGGTCGACTTAGGCGACCAGCGCTCAATTTAAACGATTAACCTCAAGGTTCTATAGTCTAAGAGCCCGTGACACTAAAGTCTCAGTCATCTGTTAGAAGGCCGTTTTTTGGTGGCCCGGTATGCCAAGTCATCGGTCAACTAAAAAACGTAATGGTTGGCAGGTTTCGTTGTGCAGAAACTGAGCGGTGGATGTTTTTTCACTACCCCACAAATAAGGCTTTCTACCTTATGAGTCAGAAGCTTTTTTTTTGTTGTGAATAAATAATATGGACCCTACTGAGGCCTGAACAGGAACGGTTGGCGGGCCTTCCTTCTCTCTTCACCATGCCCACCGCGTTTTAAGTGAGATTCCCAACGGAAGTTCCTACCTCATAAGTCAGAAGGACGAAAAAAGGTGGAAATTATAAATTTCCACTTCCTCGTCCGTTCTGCGCTGGGTTGGCAGCCGGTTGGCGCTCTATTGTTTATTTAAACATATGTTTTTGCGAAATTGAAGTTGTTTTTTCCCTCGCTATAATTTGAAGATATAGGGAGGTTTTTTCAAATCAAATCAAATCAAACACACTCTTTAATTTAACTGCTAAATATTTTGGGAAATTGGCGAAAAAAAAAAAAAAACATCAGAATTGCCCTCGGAATTGCCTCAAATTGAACATAAACATACTTTCCGGGGCGGCGGATACAGGAAGGGGGCGCGCGCCTCCCTGAGAGTCTGAAAATCTACTCGAAAGAGTTTTGAGTAAAAAATTGGAAAAAAAACATACTTATTCAGAAAAATGTTCCAAGAATTTTCCAAAAAATTTTATACGAAAAATTTCAAAAAGAATGTTCTAGAAATTTTTTCGAAGCTGACACCATTGTTCAATTTTTCGTTTTGTTCTTATCAGATAAATTTGTATTGCGGATTTTTATTTTAAATAGGTATTTTTATTATTTTCCGTTTTTTGATAATATGTACTTACTGAGTACAGGGTGGTCCAATTTGATATACCACCAACCGTTTTGTCGCTAGAGGGCGTTTCTCGATTTTGAGCAAAACTGTGAAAGCTTTATAATGGATTATGATAATATGGATTCTGCTTGAAAAAGTACCTCTAGAAATTTTATACCTACATAAATCAATTATTTTCATAAATAAAAAATAAAAAAATATTTGTGCAGTTCACACCCAGAAGAAGTCAAACCTTCAATAAACTAAACTGAGAGAGAATGAAATACATAAACTAGTACAACGCTTGGTAGACAAGAGTGGGAAGGCTACGAAGCACCGCACAAAAAGGAGACGAATAAAGCCCGGGACACATCTATCATGCATTCTTCCGATCCGACTCCGATCATACAATCAGGGTCGTTATTCTTGGAACAGGAAGCAGTGTTCCCAGGCGTTCTCCTGGAAACGCTGCTCCCCTGTTCCAAGAATAAGGACCTTGATTGGTATGATCGGAGTCGGATCGGAAGAATGCATGATAGATGTGTCCCGGCCTTAATAGAGAACGCTGTACTATACGTTTGTCTCTTTTCAGTGTCGCTTTTTCGTTTTATCGAGTCGAGTCGCAAATCACTCCCAACGATTCTGAAGAAGTTTTCACTTCAAAAGTGATAAGGTTTCACAGTATTGCTCAAAATCCAGAAAGATCCTCTATAATGAAATTTGAGCCTCAGTGGGGGGGGGGGGTCATTTTTTTTGTATCTGGTCTCAGAAATTTAAGTTTCTTATCAAAAGTGTCCAAATTGGAACACCCTGCACATTCTCACAACGTATAAATAAAGTAAAAATAAATGTTTGAAAAAATTATTTTCCATAATTCATAACCTGCGCCCTCCCTCACCAAAGTATGGGTATAGTAGATAATCGATCAAAGAATTCTGCCGAGGTTTATGCCAAATTTGAGCTACTCTGATGTGGGGTTTATTTAGGCTATTCTGATGTTTTTTTATTTCTCCTTGCAGAAAAAAATTATGTATGTAACCTGCGGATGAAATAGCATTTATCAGTTGATAAATGTGTGTATTATTTTTTCATCCATGTAAAATTTAAAAAAACCCTCACTAATTCTTTGATTCTAGCGAGGAAAAATACAACTTCAATTTCGCAAAAACATATGTTTAAATAAACAATAGAGCGCCAACCGGCTGCCAACCCAGCGCAGAACGGACGAGGAAGTGAAAATGTATAATTTCCACTTTTTTTCGTCCCTTCTGACTTGTGAGGTAGGAACTTCCTTGGGAATCTCACTTCAAACGCGGTGGGCATGATGAAGAGAGGGGGAAGGCCCGCAACCATTCCTGTTTAGGCCTCAGTAGGTCCATATTATTTATTCACAACAAAAAAAAAAGCTTCTAACTCATAGGTAGAAATCCTTATTTTGGGGTAGTGAAAATTCATCCACTCCTCAGCTTCTGCACACCGAAACCCGCCAACCATACGTTTTTTAGTTGACCGAGGACTTGGCATACCGGGCCACCAAAAAACGGCCTTCTAACAGATGACTGAGGCTTTTGTGTCACGGGCTCTCGTAATACTAGTGAGGTCCCAAAATCTAGCCAATCAGCGTCCAAAATCTCAGATCATGCACTCGAAAAAGTCGTTAGACTTTATGAACGGACTATAGTTCTGACGTGAGTCAGAAAGAGCTAGTACTGCTTGTGTGCAGTCCGTTGCTGTACACGATCTTGCCAGTGATGTTGTTAGAGTAAAAATCAAACGAGAAGAAGCCACTGTCGTCAGCGCTGACAAAGAAAGCAGATTTCCTTTTTTCTGGGTCTTATTTGAAGTGAGATAAACGATAATGCGTGTGGCTTCTTCTCGTTTGATTTATACTCTACTAACTATCTGTTTTGCAGCGATGGGTATATGCCAGTTATTTCCGTTTGGAGTACGCCATATGCGGGCTCTCTGCAATCCGACTTCTGCACTTGGCTCTATACCAATAGTGCATAGAATTCCTTCTGAAGCCCTAGTTGGTGTGGTTTTCATTGCACCAGTTGTGTTGAGGTATGTCATTCTTTGAACGTGGACTAGTTTTCGGCTAATAGTGGTCTGTTCGATAAGCAAGCATAGGCCTGATGATGACTGTATAGATCCACATACCTACCTTGGGAGAGAACCCCTAGGTCTTACCGAAGGTACGCCTACAATGTTCCTAGGCGATATATGCTTTCGGTATTCCCTTAGTGATATGAGAGCTCCAAGTTAGTTTGCAATCGAATGTCACTCCCAGATATTTGACCTCGGCAGCAGAGCTTAGTTCTGTTTTAAGAGTCCGGTTGCTGGCGGAAGTACCAGTTTACTCTTTCTTGTGAATAGGACCATTTCAGTCTTTTTGGGGTTGATGAACAAAATGCATTCCGTGCACCATCTTTCTTTAATACGCAGAGCATCTTGCATGCGCCCGCAGTGCGAATTTTTAAATTCCTCTTTGCAACATGACTTGACTACGTCAGTGGTTGTCATTCTTTAGGCGACAATAAGGCTGTCCAGAACCATGTTCTACAGAAGTGGTGATAGCACGTTTTCTTGCGGACAGCCTTTTGTGACCATTCCTCTAATGTTGACGTCTTACACACTTATCTGTACGATTCTTTTGGATAGCATATGAAATATCCATCCGGTGATAGTTTCCGGAGTATTCCTTTCTGTTAGCGAGTGGTTAATTTTTTGAGAGGTGGTTTTGTCAAAGGCCATTTCAATGTCGATGAATATCCCGAAGGTGGACTTTCTATTATCTAGCGATTTTTCCACTCACCCAGTAAGCAAGTAGAGGGCTGTGTCCGTTGATGTTCCAGGGATGTATGCATGTTGATTAGGGTTGAGTGGATTCAGGATTGGTTGATATCACTTCATTATGTACCTTTCGCATAGCCTCTGGTTAGTCTGGTAGTGCTCTGCTTATACATATAATGGGTGGCGGTACAGACATAACCTTATCACAGTAGTAAATAAAAATATAGTTATTTTCCTAACAAGTGCGCAAAGTGATACTTTCCCGCACGAAAAAGCAGTTAGACGAACGACGCGAAGCGGAGTTCGGATAAGCTTTGAGTGCGGGAAAGACACTTTGTGCAAGTGTTAGGAACAATACTTTTTCTACGAGCGTTCGAAGATTTGCATAGCATCCAGAGAGGAGCTGTACCTAATCTTCTTAAATGTTTCCAGATGCTCAAGACTAATTTTCTCTCCTAGTTCAATGTGTTGTGTTTTCAATTTTTTTTTTCAGTGATCAGCTTGACTTTATTTGCAACATTGGTTGTATTAGTGCGGTTTACTTAAAATTTGAAGAAGTTGTTAAGTTTGTTTTTCCTGCCAAATTGAGAAATTTACCAGGAATATTTTTTCATGTGACTTGTTAAATTAGTTTAACGTAGACACAATTAAGTACAGCATCTTCCCAAAATATATTATCCATTTTTGCTTGCATTATCTTAGATCTTGCTTTGTCTATTGGTGTCTGATTCATTCTTTCCGCAGCAGCATTTAGTTGGTATATGGAGGAGTATAACTTACAGTCCAACTTTTATATTCTGATACTCTAAGTGAATGTGAGTTGGTGACTCCCTATGCCAACGGTCACCTGACCTCACATCTATTTTTGCTGGATTTTTCCTCCCCTCGCTCCTAAACATTACCTGAATGCCTTTCTTGGAACAAAAATAACATCATGCCCTTCTTTCTGAATATAAATTTATCCAGAAACCCACAAAACATTGAAAAATCGAGTATAAATACGGTAACTATGCGTAACAAAAATGAGTGCGCAAAGAGTTTCCGTGCGCAAAGTTCGACTTTGCGCACGCAAATGAGTGCGCAAAGTAATAACTTTGCGCACGCAAGTAGAAAAAATGATTTCTGAAAGTCTCGAAAAGGAAATCATGTTCAATTACCCCCAAGTGTTTAAAACCTGAATGACTAGTGATAATGATTTGTTCTCTTGTTCTCTATTTTTTTTTTCTGCTAGGTTTTTTAAGATTTATTAAATACTAGATTAGTGAAATTGAATATTTAAAGATCTATTTGAAATTGGGTGAAAAAAGAAAAAATCCATCCAAAGAACTAAAGAAATACACACTTAAACTCTATGGGCCATCTCGCTGAGGTATAGTTAAGCTCAATTTATAAACTAGCCGTCGGGATTCCGTTTTCGTCTGCATTTGCGTCGGCGTCGCTGGTTACCATAGTCTCTTATGCTGACGGCGAACTGTGAGGCCGGCGGCGAGTATAAATGATTTTATAGGATTTCTAATATCCAATTGGCTCGACGCAAATGCAAACGCAAACGGAATATCGACGGTGAGCTTATAATTTGGGCTTTAATTAGGTAGAGGAACGATATTAAGGGAGGGGCTTCAAATATTTCTGATAAGAGCAATGTCATTTTTAGAACTATACGCTGGTATATTATTAAGTGGGTAGGTACGTATCCCTATTCGGTACTGGCTAATAACATTTCCAATCTCTAAACATTCTACAAAATAAATATATTTTAGTTGTCTTGAACAATCAAACTCGGCTGGACAGACTCAATAATGAGTGGTATCAAACTGCACCTATACCATTTTTTTATGAAAGAAATACGTCGTATTCAAAAGTTATCAGCAAAGACTTGAGAAAATTTTATTTTAACAATCAAATAATTGATAGCTCACAGGCTGATAATCTTGGACATGTAAGATAATTTTATATTTTTTATTATTTCTGTTGAGTTGAAATAATATTACGTTTTCAGCTTTATTCTGATTCTCATGTTGGCTTTGGTGCAAATAGAGGCGTAAAACTCATGAGTGAACACAATCCACTTCCCTCTTTCTACTACAGATACAGTTATCAAGGAAGTTATAGCTTTTACTATTATCCGAATTCAAATAACAAGACTTTTGGTTTGTAACAAATATTTTCGTTAAGAGTCTCGATTCATAATAGCTTTCTAGGGGTGGTTCATATGGATGATTTAATCTACATATTCTCTATTCCAACTGGAAGATTTCCAATTTTTAATGCGACTGAACCTGAGGAAATTGAAATAACTGAAAAACTAACTAGGTTGTATGCTAACTTCGCGAAGCATGGGTAAGTATTGACATTTTTTTTTAATTTGGTTATGTTTTTTGTTTCAGCAATCCTACTCCCACAATTGACTCAAAGTTAGACAATGTAATATGGAAGACTTTTAACAGTAAAACCCAAACGTTTTTGGATATTGGGAAGAAATTGGTCAATCGAGAACGACTTTATGAAAGGCGATATGAGGAATGGGAGAAATTGTTTCCTTTAAGCTTTTATTAAATTAGAGCAATTTAGTTACTATTCTAGTTCCATATAATAATATAATGTGAAGTCTATGAAGCTAATAAAGTTTACTGACTGATGAGCCCAAATTTCTTAGTATGGTATTGGGGGTTGATGGAGATAAACTCGCTCAGGTTATATAAAAATATAGATATATATTTTCCCAAATATGCATGTACGCTAATCCTATAAGATGCATGACCCTTCGAACACTGGGGTCCTATAGGGAGCCACACGACAACGCTGCTTGGGGGACTGTCGATTTGTTATCGTCACCCTTATGCCTTGTCCAGAGGGGCTTTCCCAACGAGAGGTAATTACACTGAACAACGATAAGGCTGAAGATACCCAAAGGGGCTTTCCCAACGAGAGGTACTTGCACTGGGGAGACTTAATTCCAGAGGGGCTTTTCCAACGAGAGGTACTTGCACTGGTTTAAGTCTGCCTTTGCTGCTGCTTGCAGCGCAATTTATATCAATTTATTGCTGAATTGCAATAAACATCCGATCGAATCAGCAATTAAATTATTAAGGTTAAATACCGGGTCCCCCTTTCCTTAGCAGCTAGTTGACATATGCCCCCCTCCATGAAGCATTGGATCCCAATGCTTGGAAGAGACATTTACAACAAATTATATATAAATACCATAATAATGTCAAAAAACACAATAATATCCTTATCCTAAAAATATCCCTTCTTTACAATAATAGCCTAATTATAAAATATCCCTGATGCTTAACAATTATATAATCCAAATATCGCGTATAGAGAAAAAAAATTTAAAATTAAAAATATCAAAAGTTTTTTATGGTGGGATGGGTGAGGGTGCATTATTATTCAGGTTACTTTTTTTTAAGCTCCTAAAATCTGATCTCACAAATGTAAAAAAAGAGCTTACAGAAGTAAATAATAGGGTCGAAACTATGCAAAACAAAATAGTGAATCTTGAAAATACAATAAATCTACCTGAAAATCAAAAAACAACAAATCTGGAGGTTCAACAAATGGAGGATGTTATTGCTGAAATGGAAGAGAGGAGATATAGAGCAAATAATGTAATTATACTTAATATAAATGAGTCGTTAAAGGCAAGTCGTGGTGAGAGACTTGAAGATGAAAAGCAGACTGTTTTGGAAGCCTTGGAGAGTGTGAATATAACAGACAGAAATATAAGCATTCAGAGGTTGTGGAAATATGTACAAAATAGATGCAGACCCCTAAAAGTAAGTTTTGCAAATCCCAATGATGCAAAAGAAGTTTTAAAAAACAGGAGAAATCTACCAAATATGAAAATGTTTGCTGATCAAACTATAAAACAACAGAAATACTACAAAACTATAAAACAGAAACTACTAGATATAATTGCAAATGGGGATAATTCAAAAACCATAAGATACATAAACACTGTGCCAACAATTGTTTCGAAGGGTGATGAAAGAGGAAGAAATCAAAAAAACCTTTAAGGCCTAATATACAAGCGAACACTCACAAGGAAAATATATTAATGTTAAACCAAGATATTGTTTACCTTAATATAGAAAGGCTTTATGCTCATAAGGTGGAATTAATGTCAAATGTTATGTGTTATGATCAAATGGTTGTCGTTTTGAGCGAGGCTAGAACTACCGTTGATGTGTTAGATGCCGAATTGTTAATAAACAACTATAGTCTTGTACGGTGTGACAGTCACTCAAGACATACAGGTGGAGTTGTATTTTATATTAGAAGCGACGTAGAGTACAAAATTAGGGAGTCAGTTATACTTCCCCTAAACTATTGGATCCAGTTTGTGGAGGTTAAAGTGAGTGGTAAGAAATGGATGCTGGGTGGTCTATACCATTCTCCTAGCTCAAGTCATGCCACTTTTGTAGAACATCTTGAAGAGGTAATTGAGAAATATTTTAGCTATAATAAGTGTTTGTTAGTAGGGGATATAAACATAGATTATAATAATGAAACTTGTTTTTATACAAGAAAAATTAAAAACGTTTGGTGTCGATCAGTTGATTTCCACATATACAAGAATAACGAATGTTTCTAAAACAATAATAGATTATGTGATAACAAATTATGATAATGTTAGCGCTGAAATCATAGACGTACCCAAAATATCAGATCACTCAATAATTGCTTTGAACTTATTCAATTCTTCTAAGCCAAAAGTAGAGAAATTTGTGAATATAAGAAAATTAACTGAAAATGCTTTCAATCAAATAAATTTGCAACTTTTTTCTGTAAACTGGAATTCAAGGACTGTAGATGTTAATTTGGTAGTAGGGGAACTCTTAGACAATTGTACAAATGTTGTAGATCAAATTGCACCTGAGCAGAAAGTTAATTATACCTCAAACCAAGTTCCATATTATGATGTTACTTTAAAAAATATCTGTAAAGAAAAAAATATGGCCTAGAAACGGTTTAAGGCTACCAACAGTAATTGTAGTAGGGAAAATGCATGGGATAATTATAAGAGATGTAGAAATCAATATGTAAACATGCTCAAGTATAAGGAAAGGTCTTATTATGAAGAGAAAATTGATCGAAATAAACACAATCCTGAAGAAATGTGGAAATACTTAAAGCAGGTTATCAAACCAACCGAAAAAGTGATTTTAAATAGGATACATTTTTTAATTAACAATCAGATCAAAATTGAAACAAACCCTAACAGAATGGCGAATGCATTTAATAATTATTTTGTTGAAAGTATAGTTGAAATTTCAAACAGTATTCCTGCCACGGTACCCTGGTCATCATTCAGTTATGAACAGGTAAATTGCACCTTGTCTAGTTTTCGTGAGATTTCTTTTCTAGAGTAAAATAAGTAAGTAAAATAATACTCTCTTTGCACAAAGTAAATAAATCAGAAGTAGTTAACAGCATATTTCTTAAAAATACTTTGCATTCGATTGGGCATGTAATATTAAATTATGTGAACACTTCTATTCGTACAGGTGTATTTCCTGACCAGCTAAAGGTGAGTACAGTCACGCCAATACCTAAAGTAGTAAATACTCAAGATGCCTGTAATTTCAGACCTATAAATACTCTTCCTACTCTTGAGAAAGTACTTGAACTCACAATACACAATCAGTTAGTTGATTATTTTAATGAAAATAATCTATTTTTGGGCTATCAATCAGGTTTCCGAAAACAACATTCATGTGAAACAGCACTACAGTTAATAATAACAGAATGGAAAAAATGCATTGATAATAATGAATATGTAGTTGCTGTGTTTCTTGATTTCAAACGAGCATTTGAAACGATAAATAGGCAAACCCTCTTGAAAAAACTAGAGTATTATGGAGTGACTGGACTAGCATTGGGCTGGCTAAACAGCTATTTGAGTAACAGATACCAAAGAACAAGGGTGAATGATTGTCTGTCGGACTTGATTTCAAATGATATAGGGGTTCCTCAGGCAGGGTAGTGTCCTGGGACCGCTGTTATTTATAATTTATTTAAATGACATAAATCTTGTTGAAGGACCGCATCAAATAAACCTTTTTGCAGATGATACTCTTTTGTATATTGTTAACAAAGATTTAAAGAAGGCTCAGGTAGACATAAATAACTCTCTGAAAAGTATAGAGTCCTATTTAGCTATCAGTAAATTAAAACTAAATGTATCAAAAACCAAAGCAATGGTATTGACAACGCAAAATAGGCACAAGAATATGGATATCAAATTTTTCAGGATTGAGGTTGATTCTGAAATTGAAACTGAAATTAAATATTTGGGATACATAATTGATAATAAACTGAATTTAAACAGACATGCTGAGTTCACAATCGGCAAAATCTCAAAAAAGTTGTATTTTTTCAATAGAATTTCAAATTCTCTTTCTATGTATGCAAGAGTGACGTGTTATAATTGCATAATAAGGCCTCATTTTGATTGTTGTGCCTCTTTAATGTACCTATTTAATCAAAATCAAATATCCCAACTGCAAAAACTGCAAAACAAAGGAATGAGAACTATTCTAAAGTGCAGTCGATATACATCTATTGAAATTATGCTACAAGCACTTCAATGGCAAACAGTTTATAAGAGACTTTATTACTTGAGCATGGTTTTTATTTTCAAAATTGTTAAGGAGCAGAGCCCAAAATATTTTTCTAAATTTTTAATATGTAATAATCAAGTTCACAACCATAATACAAGGACACAGAACAACTTCTATATTGCTAGAGCTAACCTGAAAAGTAGTATGAACTCTTTGTTTTTTAAAGGGTTGGATGCTTACAATAAGCTACCAGACCATATAAAAGGATCAACTAATGTAAACCAATTTAGGAGGGAGCTATTAAATTTTATCTGAACTGTGTACCAGAGTTATCATGCCCTGCTGGCGTAATGTTGGGTAACTTGATTATCTGAATTGAAGTCTGTTGTATATTACTTGTGTGAAGATTGATATAAAATTGCTTAATGTTTTCAAATGGTTTGTAATGTGGGTATACCTATATAAGGACTAGCTTTGGATGGAATATTTGTGTATTTATTTATTTAGTGTGAAAATTTCATTGATATATGCAATGTATAGATATAATATTTTGTTGTATATTAGGCATGTCCTAAATAAAGATATATTATTATTATTATTATTTACTACAAAAAAAAAAAAAAATAGCTTACAACTAAGAAATTTCATCAACTTCACCGCTTCAGCCATGGGTTTTTTTCTTTTGGTCCAGTCCTGTTTTCTGTATTATGGGTCTGTTCTGGTTCCAAATACTTCTTGGTAGGTCAGCTAGATCGTGGGGTGTACGGCCCCCATAAGTGTCGTTTCCTGGTTTGTTATGCTTCTTTCTTGTTCATTGTGCTGTCTTCCGTCTTTCAAGTGGATTGGTTCTGGCTCCAAGTACTTCCTGGTCATCTGGGTAGTGGGTTTGCGCGGTCCCACGGCCCAAGTAATCCTTGATCATTATTTCTGTGAGTGTGGAGGAAACGGTACTGTAGTCTGTCTACTTTTGGTCCATGCCCATTTGTTTCTTCTGGTTTGAAGTTCCTAGCCCCTGCTCAGTCCAGAGCTAGGTCCTTCTATTACAATGCCTTCCCTCGAATTTGTTTTGTTGTCCGTCCCTGGTTCATGGTTTTGTATATACATGCAAAAAATAAAATAATATTTAAAAAAAATGTGCTTATTCCTATAATAACATAGTTTATTTATGACCCACATTCAGGCCACCAAATTTCATCATTTGGTTATTTGTTGCTCATGGCTCAAACAGGTAAGTTTAGTCCAACTTGTTTTTTGTATACCCATATGCCTTCTTTTTGCAGCTCGTACTTTTCTAAGATCCCTTCGGCGGCTTCTTCCCTCGATAAGAATGTTTCTGATTCCTCTTCTTTTATAGTAATTCATATTCTCTATCTTCCCTTAAAATTATGAGGTCATCCACTAGTTTCCTCTTATATTGAGCTGTCATTCCTCTCCATCCTCCTTGTTTACTCTATTTAATATCTTACTCTATTTTTTCATCCTATATCTACTTCCTATTTTCCTACTTCATAGTCTTCTTCTTCCTCGTTTTCTGCCTCACTGCTTCCAATTTCCTCTTCTATTTTTTCTTCTTCGTCTTCATCCTCATCAACTTCAGATTCTGCGTTTTCAGCTATATCTGTCTCATCTGCCCTATCTTCAATAGGCGCAGCTTCTGTCCATGGATCGTAGTAGGGTAACATATTACTCACGTGGATCGTATCCTTTTTTCTGCTTCCAATCTTTTGTACCCCGTAATTCACTTCTCCCATTTTTCTAATTACTTTGTATGGTCCAAACCATCTTAAGAGTAATTTTTCGCTTCTTCCAACCTTTCTAATTGGTATAAACACCTTAACTTTGTCTCCAACTACGAAATCTAATTCTCTATGTTGTTCGTCAAAACGTCCCTTGTCTTTTTCGTATATTTTCTACTGCTATGGCTCTTATTGAGAGTGCCTTTTCTCTAATTTGCAGAGCGTCCGTTTCTTCTTAACTAGCACTACAGGGCTAGCCCATGGAGACTGGCAAGGCCGAATTACTTCGCTATCGAGCATTTCCTGGATTTGTTCGTCAATAATCTGTCTTTCTTTTTGTGACACTCTTTTTAAGCGGCTCTTTATTGGGCGAGCCTCTCCGACGTCTATTATGTGTTCTGTTAAGTTTGTCTTTCCCATATGTTTTGTAGATTTCGCGAAAACGTCGTTGTATTCCAGAAGGAGTTCTTTGAGTTCATACCTGTTCTTATCGTTTGTGATGCTGTCTAACTTATGATCTGTTATTTCGTCGCTCTCTTCGTCTTTTTCTGCTTGCAACATGAAATTGTGTGAAAGATTTGTTTCTGATGGTGTTCCTGCCAAAAATGCCATTGTGGTTCCGGCGTTTATAGCTACTCGGTTCCTTGTATTTGATTGTACTTTTAAAATGAGGCTACCTTCATTGGTGTGAATGTGCGTTTTTAGTTCAAGATGATT